CATCTCACGCCTGCTTCCCATACCCTTCCCCTCTTCAGATCCTGCACGCTCCTCAGAACCTAGCTCAGGCCCACAGAGCCGGCGATGACATGTTCCCTGCATGTGGAGCCTCTCTTTCGGGAGGAGGGGTCTCATGTCAGAGGGCTTGTTTTGGTGACACTAGATCATTATCAGTAATGGGGAGTCTGTTGTATAATGCAAATGATGTCTTTGAATCTGTCCTAATTTAAAAGCCTCTAAGGTAGTGATTATTGGGTATGGAAAGCACTTATTCTCTCTCTCAGGGCGTACTGTATCTAGTTGTTAGTGCGCTTGGTATTGTCGAAGTGCCATGGCTGATCCCCCAGATTTGAGTTGCCTTTGCCTGCTTTGGGGGTTGATACCACGTCTCCCCCCTCACCCACTGGGCGAGTTTGGGGTTATGGCCTGTGGGCCATGGCAGGTCCCCTATACCCAGTGTGGGTGTGATCGCTCGTCTCACACCCTCCAGGGCCTCCTTGGAGCCTAGGACAGCCCGTGCAGGGGGTAGAGAAGGTGGCAGAAAGCCCTTTTCAAAATGCTTTCTGGGCCTGGGTCCCAGAGACCTTCAAGCACATTGCTTTTGTCTGGTTCCCCCCATCCCGCCCCCTCAGATTCAGACAGCATTGCGGCACAAGTCGGAGATCGAGCACCATCGGAACAAGATCCGGCTCCGCGCCAAGCGCCGCGGCCACTACGAGTTCCCGGTGGTGGACGACCTGTCGTCGGGGGACACGCGGGAGCGACACCGGGTGTACCGCAGGGCGCAGATGCAGATCGACAAGATCCTGGACCCCACGGCCAGCGTGCCCTCCGTGTTCATAGAGCCCAGGAAGAGGTGGGGTCCCAGGGCAAGCCGGGCTGCCTCTGCTGTCAGGGCTGCGGTCGGAGGGCCTGTCCATTTTTAAGGGAAAAGTATCTGAAAATGGGTCAAAGAGGTTTACACACAGAAAGGCTGTGCAGGCTACGGGGGTGGCTTTGATCCTGCGTGGGTGGCCACCCATGTGCAGAAAGGCTGCTTTCATTCTGCCTGGACCTCCCCGGCCTCCGAACGCTTCCCTGGTTAATGTCTCCTGAAGTCAGTGCTCTGAATGGTGGTCACCCCTCCCTTCCCAGACCCACCGCCCCGGCTTCCTGGGCCTGCACTTCCTCTCAGTCTGCTCCCCTCCAGCATCCTCACCTCCTAGCTCAGTGATGGCGAAGCTTTTGAGCTCGGCGTGTCAGCATTTTGAAAAACCCTAACTTAACTCTGGTGCCGTGTCACATATAGAAATTTTTTGATATTTGCAACCATAGTAAAACAAAGACTTATATTTTTGATATTTATTTTATTTATTTAAATGCCATTTAACAAAGAAAAATCAACCAAATAAATGAGTTCGCGTGTCTCCTCTGACACACATGTCATAGGTTCGCCATCACTGCTCTAGGTGGTCACGGGGTCAGCACAGGCGGATGTCTCATTTCTTGTCCCACAGCCACCTTCTGAGTTTTGGTGCTTACCTTCCCCTTTGCCTCTCAGACTCCTGCCCCCTAACACAGATGCAATGTCTTTTTTTAAAAAGATTTTTAGAGAGAGAAGAAGGGAGAGGGAGGGAAAGAAATATTGATGTGAGAGGGAAACATCAATCAGCTGCCTCCTCCACACCCCCTACCAGGGATCGAGCTCCCAAGCCAGGCATGTGCCCTGACTGGGAATCAAGCCGGCAACCTTTCAGTGCCGCTCAACCAACTGAGCCACACTGGCCAGAGCAACATAGATGCATTTTCTTAAGCACTGCTCTCAGTTACGCCTTTCTCTGCTAAAAACCTGTGATGGCTCCCTGTGCTGCCTGTGTGCCCCCAACAGGCGGGGCTGCCTGTCCCTGCACAGCAGCCTACACAGACCTGCCACTCCGTTAGCTGGTGGCCTCGTCGCCCCAAACCTTCATCTGCGTTTCCACTTCTGGCCCTCGGTGTGGTCATCCCTGCACCCCACACCCTCTTCCCACATCACTCCCCATCTGCAGACCCCATTTGCTCTTCAGGATGCAGCTCAGGCCCCACGTAGCCAGCGAGGGCTCAGTAGCTCACATTGACCCCCCCCCTTTTCTGCGTAACTAACATCATGAGCACGTACTAGTATTGCCTCGGATTGCTCTCTGTGGCTCCTTGTGTTGCTGTGGTCTGCCCAGGTAGACAGTGAGCTTCCTTGGAGCCGAGACTGTCTCCTACAGTGTTTCTATCCTGTGGGTGTTTGCTGCCGTGACCAGCAGTCAGAGGTGCTCAGGAACTGCTTAGCGTTGAGTTGCGAAGCCATCGGCAGGAAGGGTTCTTCCCTCTGAAATAACCTCCCTTTTTCCGGCAGCTCGCGGATGAAACGTTCTCCCAAGGTCCGCCGGAAGCACCAGGTCAACGGCTGCCCCGGAGATGCCGAGAAGGACAGGCTCATCACCACAGACAGCGACGGCACTTACAAGAGGCCTCCCGGCGTCCACAACTCCGCCTACATAGGTTGCCCAGTGCGTAATGCTGACCCTCCCTTCTGGAATCAGCGTTGGGGTGGCTCCTTGGGTGGAGAACAAACAGGATGCGGGGTTGATGCCCGGTGGCTGCCGCTCCGAGGCCGGCTGGGTTGGAGGCAGGTGGGGAAGGGAGGGAGGGGACTGCTCATTGGCGGGCAGCCTTCAGTCCTGTAAACCAGGGGCTGCTGGCTGAGCCCTCGGGAGACACCACATGTTTTTCCTTTCTGTGTGCGAGCCCTTTCCTCTTGGGCTTCAGCCTGGGCACTCCCCGAGGTTGAGTGGGGCACAAAGAAGAATATCCAGAAGGTTGTTTTTTATCCCCTGGACTCTTTTCTTGTTGATAGAAAGGATATTTAGGGTTTTCTCCCTCCCTTCTCTTTCTAGAGTGCTAAGAAGATATATTTGCTCATTATCTATATACATAATATGTACATATATATAATACATATATATAATTTTAATATATATAATTTATCATATATATATATTATGCAAAGTGTCCCCTCAGGAATTCAACCAACTGGGAGTTCGATCGCTCGTTATGACCTGCGTTGACCACCAGGGGGCGGCGCGGAATGAAGGAAGGCCCCAGCTGGCAGCTGGCAGCCAGGGAAGGGAAGCCCCAGCCAGCAGCCAGCCGCCAATAGGGACCCTACCTGTGCACAAATTTTGTGCACTGGGCCTCTAGTATATATATAATTTTAATGGGAGAAAGCACTTACTGGAAGCTAAGAAATATGGGTTTAAACCAGCAGTTCTCAACCTGTGGGTCGTGACCCCTTTGGCAGTTGAACGACCGTTTCACAGGGGTCGCCTAAGACCATCCTGCATATCAGATATTTACATTACGATTCATAACAGTAGCAACATTACAGTTATGAAGTAGCCACGAAAATAATTTTATGGTTGGGTCACAGCATGAGGAACTGTATTTAAAGGGCCAGAAGGTTGAGAACCATTAAACATTTCTTTGAAGCAGAAAGGGCACAGAGTTGCTTGAAGTGTAAAAGGCAGACGTGGGTAGCATTAAGACACACACACAGACCCCATTGAGTAGGAAGAGAGGGCCAGCCTGTGCAAGGAGCCACGGGAAATACAGAACAAAGGCACCCAGGACAGGGAGCGCTAGGTGGGACTCCTGCGGCCTCACGCCAGGTGTAGCCCTGTCTTGTTGCACCAGCCGCCTCCCCTCCCCCCCCCGGAGGCTAACGTACACAGCCATCCTTGTGAGGAGGGAACTTAGTAGTAAGCACATCCTTGGAGAAGGGGGTAGGGTACATGATCCCTTTACATAGGGCTGATGCAGCCAGCCATGTATTAGAGTTTTATATTTTGTCTCCTAAATTACACTAAAAACTAACACTGCCAGGCACTAAATATAATCATATAAATGTGCCAGGCACCATGCCGACCCTGGGGCCACCTGTAATGGAATCGTGGCCATCTGAGAGAGCCAGGCTTTCCTTGGGAGTTTATGTATCTCTAGTCCCTCAAGACGGACCATGTCCCTCATCCCTGCTGCTGAGGGCTGGAGTGGCTCCAGGGAGTTGGCAGGCCAGCAAATTAGAATGCTTTGCTCTCAGTAGACAGAATGGAGTCAGTCCTCTCTGCGTGCGGTGAATGCATTCCCTTGGCTGGGGAACGTCGCTCACAGGTCTTACAGTAGGTGGCGTTCTTGTGCTGCTGTTGGACAGGCGGTTGTCTGGGCATCTCTGCTGCTTGGTTTGGTCTTGGGGCGGGCAGTCCCCTTGGCTCCCTGGAGAGTCATGCGGTGACACTAACCAACAGAGGAGGAACTTGCTTCTCGCCCTCCACTTCCCTAACTAGGGGGCTGGTCCTCTCAAGGGAACTTGCAGGGGAGCCTTCAGGCCTCATGGGAGTGCCCTCACCCAACGCCGCGTTAGGTGTGGGGATGACCGTCTTCCCTTGCTCTCTCCATCTTGCCTTCGTCGTCCATGACCTTTTTCTCCTTGCTTTTTTGGCGTGTGTGTGGTTTTTTTAAAAAAATTTTTACTTTTAGCAGAAAGTGCCCTTCCTTGGAGAGCCACTTCAGTCAGCTGCTCTTCTCCAGTGGCTGTTTTTCAAATTCCCTGAAATGAAAATCTTCCTCGGATGGACTTCCTTCCTACTCTCTCCCTAAAAATTCTGAAACACATGTTTTCAAAGACAGCGCCTTTCTTGGAACACGCCTTCTCTTGGGCAATATACTTGACATATGTGTGTTTTTTAATTATCTTGATTTTTACACGTTTCCCCTCAAAATATCTCCGAAAGTGAAAAATATATTCCTGGATTCCTTATAACTAAGGTTATGTTTATAATCAGGACTAGGCAAACTATGCTCTCAGGCCAAATCCAGCCAACTGCCTGTTTTTGTGAATAAAGTTTTATTGCAGTTGTTCTCAACCTTCCTAATGCCGTGACCCTTTAATACAGTTCCTCATGTTGTGGTGACCCCCAACCATAAAATTATTTTCGTTGCTACTTCATAACTGTAATTTTGCTACTGTTATGAATCGTAATGTAAACATCTGATATGCAGGATATATTTTCATTGTTACAAATTGAACATAATTAAAGCATAGTGATTAATAACAAAAACAATATGAATTATATATGTGTTTTCCGATGGTCTTAGACGACCCTTGTGAAAAGGTCGCTCGACCCCCAAAGGGGTCGCGACCCACAGTTTGAGAACCGCTGTTTTATTGGAACATAGTCATGCCCGTTCATTTGCATGTTATCTGTGGCTCTTGCTACAAGGGCAGAGTCCAGTTAGGTGCAGCAGAAACTATATGATGCACAAAGCCTGAAATACTTAGTGTCTGGCCCTTTGCAGAAAAAGTTTGTCAACCCCTGATAAAACTTTTCCTTCAAACCGGACACTTGTGAGAGAGAAAGGAGCACTATTAATTATTATACTGGGACAACAGGCATGAACCAAGATTGGCCTGAGCCAACCAGGGTGTATGATCCCTCTCAGAAAACCCACAGAGGATTGCAAAATAGGCACCAGAATACATGGTTTGTGGCGATTAAAAGTAAAAAGGTCCATATATTTTTCTGAAGAATGAATGATGAATAAACAGTATGATTGCGATTCAGGAGGATGGAATTCAAATTCCAACTCGGGGGTCTCGGAGAAGTACTTTTGTAGATGACAGTTGTGCATTTTTTATTGAGTACCATCTATCGGTGAAACACTGCTGGATGTTGAGATCTAGAACATGAAGACGCCCTGTCTTGGCCTGCAAGTTCAGCTAGGCTAGCCGTGAAATGACGAGGCAACAGGAAGAAATCCAGGAGGCTCTGACCTGGCTGTGTGGCTCTGGGCCTTCTTAGCAGGAATCCTAGGGCCAGTGGGGATCCGGGGGAACCTTCCCTCCCAACGTCAGAACATCTCTCGCAATAAGTGTTAAAGCTTCTCTGAAATTATGAGTAGTAACGGTGAGATTGGCAGTGGCTATAGCCCTGGACTCCCCTTGAGGGTGTATAAGGTTTTCCCCCAGTGCAATCTCAGTCTGGGCTTGTGGCTGTGTAGGTTGGCCACCCCACTTGCTTCCTTGTGATATAGTTCCTGTGTCAGCGACTGGAACCACCACCAGGAACATCCCCTGGGTCTTTAGAGAGACCCTCTTACTTACCAGTAGGACGTGTTTCCAGACACACGTTTCCATTTCTCCACCAGGAACCGTTACTTGGTGGCACACTACTGACCACAGGCTTTCCTGTCTGCACCTCAGGACAAACTAGTAGCCCTGGCTGGTTTGGCTCAGTGGATGGAGCGTCGTCCTGGGGACTGAAGGGTCCCAGGTTCGATTCCCATCAAGGGCACGTACCTCGATTGCAGGCTTGATCCCCGGCCCTGGTCAGGTCACGTGTGGGAGGCAACCAGTCAATGTGTGTCTCTATCTTTCCCCCTTCCCTTCCACTCTCTCTAAAAAATCAATGGAAAAATATCCTCAAGTGAGGATTAGCAACAACAACAACAAAAGAAAAACCAACAATGGGGTAAGGGCTTGCATATGGACCTTTCGCTCACCTCCAAAGAAAGGAACACAGTTTATTCAATGCTACGTCATAAACCAGAGACCCCCTTTGGGTCCGAAACGTTACTGGGTCTTTGCAATATTAGAGAAACAGACCTACAGGGCCACCTGCCCCAGCTGAGGAGGCACTCAGAGCCTCATTCTGCCAAGAGAACCCAGAAATCAGGTTTAATAGGAAATTTTCAGATTTATGAAATAGTGGTTAAGTATGTTTTTAAAATCTCCATGTGGCTCACCCTTTATGTGACGACACTAATGCAGGTCTGTGGGCTGTTTGTGGGTTTGCCAGTTTGTGGCCTCGTTTTCTCTGTGGAGTTAAGCAGCGGCTTCCCTGAAGTGTCTGATGCTGGTGTCAGTACTACCCGATCATCCGTTGGATAGGCCATCATCGTTAGGAAGCGTTTTCCAGACAGTTGGCTAAGAGTAAGGATGTGTCTATGGAATAAGTTTCTTTTTGTAAGTGACTTGCCGATCCAAACAGATACACACATGTCTTCCTCGGCCCTTCAGTAGTGACCCAGCCAGCTGAGCGAAACCGAGGGCCAGCAGGGCGAGCAAAGCCTTCTGGGTAGAAGGCGTCCACGCGCCCTCATGGAGGGCATGGTCACCAGCCCGTCCTGCGGACCCTCTTCTTTCTTCAGGGTCAGTGGGAGTGACTGTGCTGTATGGGCGTCCGGAGCCACTGGGACCTGAAGGGCCTCTTTCTCCATTGGACCCCTGCTTGTCTCTTACAGGTCATCTAAGTGTTTATGACAACATTTTGCTCATAAGGCAGTATCAGAAAGTAAGATGTAAAAAACACACAATTGTGACTTATACCCCCGCCTCGTAGACAAGAGAATTTAAAACTTTCTTTCTTTCTTTTTGGTTAATCCTCATCTGAGGATATTTTTCCCATTGAGTTTTAGAGAGAATGGAAAGGAGGGAAGAAGAGAAGGGGGAGAGGAAGAGAGGGAGACACATAGATTGGTTGCCTCCTACACGTATCCCAACCAGGGCCCGGGATCGAACCTGCAGCCCAGGTGCATTGCATGTCCTTGACTGGGAATTGAGACTCTCCAGTGCTTGTGCTGATGCTCTAACCACTGAGCACACCAGCTAGGGATAATTTAAACCTTTCTTGATGACTTATGTTATCCAGTGATACCTCCATTTTTAAAATTTTTTTATTGATTTCAGAGAGGGAGGGGGAGAAAAAGAGAGAAAGAGAGAGAGAGAGAGAGAGAGAAACATCAATGATGAGAGAGAATCACTGTTCAGCTGCCTCCTGCATGCCCTCCATTGGGGACTGAGCCCACAACCTGGGCATGTGCCCTTAACTGGACTCAAACCTGGGACCCTTCAGTCTGCAGGCCAACGCTCTATCCACTGAGCCAAACTGGCTAGGGCGATACCTCCATTTTAAAGCCAGTTTCTGAATAAATAATTACTATTTACTGTTGAAACCATTGTCATAATAGGTATGAAAATTATTTATACACACAGTTATATTATGGTGATGACTTTTAACTCTTTTGGGGGTGTGTAGGGCTGTTTTTTCTATTGCTAATAGTCAGTAGACCGCTTTAGTTTTTGGTTTCTACCTCTCTGGAAAGTTGACCAGCTATTTCAGTAAGTGGATTGAGACATCGATTTTGGTTACTTAGAGGCTTTCAATAAAAGTGTATACTTCCAGGTGCTGAAACGCATTTCAGACAGGTGCAGGGGTTTTGCCGGACAAATGATTATTGAATATTTTCATTTTCTTCCTTAATTCCTGATGCAAACTCTGTGCACCCATGAGAGCGAACACACTTTCCTCGGCCGTCATCCTAACGGTTCTCACGGGAAGCCGTTTCCTCGTGTCAGTGAAGAATGTTCGCTTCCGTTTTGGCCCTCGATAGAGTTTTGTTTTCAGGTCACCACTGAGGCTTTTGTCTGACGCTTTCTCCTTTGCTGTGCCCCGCTGTAGTCCGACCCCGACCTCCCGGCAGACGTACAGACGCCGTCTTCTGCTGAGCTGGGCCGGTACCCAGGCCTGCCCTT